CCGTGCATGGCCGGAAATGCTACAATGCAGCGAGCTTTTTCTTACTCCCATGGTGTTCGAACATATCAGTGAGAGAGAGGCCAGCTAGATTGGGATGCATGGGTGTTCAATGCTTGAGTCTCAAGAACATGTTCCCCAAATCGTTTTCTTTCGCCTAATCTCCCGGTGATTTCAGCGTGTTTGCTTCTTGGAGCGTTCTCAGGATGGGCGTTCCTCCAGTTCTTCCGGGTCGATGGCCAGTTGCTCCTCCCCATGGGCATCTTTGGGACAATAACCCGTTGAGCAAGGCGAAACCGAGATATGTCCTTTTCAACCCTGTTGAGGGGGGCAACCACCGAACCACTATCCACCAATGAGTTCACGTTCTGGCTACTGAGACACCGCAAAAGACCCGGTCTGCACGGCTCCAAGTTTGAACAGGATGGCTTGGCGGGGATGTTCAACGGGTCAAAACGTCCCAGTCGCAGCCCCGCGAACCAAAAGGATTTGCCGATGGTGAGTCAAGGCATCGAATCAACAAAAAGAAGCAAATAAGACACTACTCAGTCACTGCTCAATGGGAATCCGATGGGCCCTTCGGCCGACTTCTTTACACACCCTTAGCCTTCAGAACCCTCATATTGAGAGTCCCGGCTCTGGGAGACTCGAGTCCGGGGGCCTCAGGGAAAGAAAACAGGCATCCGTGGACCCACACTGAAGCTGGCAAAACATGAAACTGGCACATCCTCTTGCTGGGTATTGGAGAGTATTGTTGGAGAGTTGCGAGATGGATAGTTGGTATGTTGAATGAAAAGATCGTCATCCTCAATGACTCAAGTCCTAGTGCTTTTCAACAACAACCGTTCTTTTTTGCAGCTGGGGTGTCGGTCAAAAACCTTCATAGATGACTTCTGCTCCACTTCGAGATGTCTTTGTTCCACATAATGACAGATGGGGTCAACCTATCAGGACGCTCATCTCCTACCCTCCCTGTTAGGGTCATTTGTTGGCATATATAAATCATATATGGAGAGTAGTGCAGTCCAACAACATCCAACAACCAGTGAAGGTGGGAACATGCCACCGTCAAACAAGCACAATTGCATGACATGACGTGTCTTTCTTGAAACCAACAACCCATCCCTGAAAGGACCGTGGTGGGGCGTTGGAACACATGCATTCTGTGTATTGCACCAAACCAGGATAACCATTGCAAGGTACCTGCCTCGCTGCCTCATTGTGCATCATTGTGCATCAAGTACATCTCCAAACATTCAAGGTATGGCTCAGTACTTGCTCGCTTTATATTATTTCTTGGTTCTTGATGGTTAAACATCCGTAAGAAGAATCGCCTACTCAGGTTGCATCTGAGCTTCACTATACTAGAATGGTCAAGGGTGTCTCCCCCGGTCAATGTCTTTTCTGGGTCCAACACTCAAAGCCTGATCCAAGCGTCGCAAAAGTCTCGACGTCTTTGATTCCGTTCCAGCGGCCTCTTTGGGGTCTCATGTCCCAGCGAACAGCGGAGGTGGCACGTCAGTTCGTCCGAAGCGTCCGGCTGGCCAGTTCTGCGATCCGAGGCATCCGGCTGGCCAGTTCTGCGATCCTGGGAGCTCAAGCGAGTCTGAGAACGTGTTCTTTACTTTTTGGTTGTGTGTGTATTGGACCACGACCAGGCGGACGACACGGACATGGAAATGGCATGCGTTTTATCGTTTTGTGTTTTGGGTAGTGCCGGGTATCTAAGTTGGGAAAGGGATCACAGTCTTTTTTCCATGCAAGCGCCCAATGCACAGTGGGAGACTGTGTCTTGATCTTGGGGGAGTCACATTTTAACTTTGTTTTCACTTGACTCCTTCTACTCCCGACCCAAAGAAGTATCCCGTCCACCACTGTAAATGACCAGGACTGCGACCATGTGGTTCTGCAAGAGTCTGCAAGAAGCAAGTGGACCGAATCTCTCATTTGTGCTGGACCTGGAGCATGATTGGTCTCCAACAAAACAATCAGCCTTTTAAATCCATTAGACACACAAGGGTTAGGGTTATCACATATTTTTCAGGCTCTAGGTCTGTGGATGCACATGATGGGCAAGACTTTTGGTGGTTTTTCTGGTGTGCTTGATCCCGGCGTTCTGTTTCTTTTTCGGGTCTGCCAACAGGTGGGGGTTGGTCTCTAAATCCATTGGCCTCTTAGATTCTTGCCCTCAAGGTGGTGTAGGATGAGCACTGGTCCATGAATAAACAAACAGTGGGCAGGTGATGGTAGTAAGGTCTAGTAGATCAACACAAAGTATTCTTCACAGTGGATCGATTTTTTGAAGAAGACACTTGTGGGCACCGAAGTGTTTGAGGGTAAAACCTTCGAAAACCCTACTATGCAAGTTTCGCTCATTGTTCCATGGTCAGTCACCTCCAATCTTCACCGCACAGCAACTGAGCACGTCCAAACACACCACCCCATGTAAAAAGAGATCAAAAGAAATGTTAATAACATCACCCTAAACCTGGACACACCAAGAACAAAGACATGACAAAACATCAAACAACCACACCTCACTGGGTTGGAAGTGGAGGAACCGCTTGAAGATTCGACCAGCGTTCCTGAACTCAGTCGGCCCTTTGTCCCACCCTATCCTGCTTTCTTTAAGGACAACAAGCAAAGCAAAAATAACAACAGCAACAAAACAACCTTCGAATCAATCTGAAACCATATGCCAAAGGAAATCAGAAAAGAGAGACAGTTCAAACAAAGAACCAACATACAACTCACATCAACTCACAACTCTGCTTTTGTCCGTTTCTTTTTTTATCCTGTGTTTCTCTTGGTTCCCCATTCGCCTAGCGGATGAAGGCCTGGCTGGTCGCGGTGGTCCTGAGGAGCCCCGGCACGAAGAATCAGCTGAAGAATCGCATCCGGGAGCCCGGGAACCTACAGATTATTAATACGTCTATTTGGGGTATATCCATTGTATATCCAATTCCCAGGGCCCAGTGGATGATGATGTTTAGTCAAACCGTTTCTCTAAAACACAAACAATTGTTTACCAACTGTTACATCCACCTGTCAGACCCCGTAATCTCAGCGTCGCGTGAAGAACAAGATGCCTTCCACAAAAAACTTATTAATTCATGTCCCAGCTTGGCACTTGCCTAGGTTATTGAACACGACCCGTTACGACTGGCCCACCACCGCGTGCCGCACCTGCACCGGTCCGCTGGTGCCGCTCCGCGGCACGGGCGTAGCAGCCGTAGCCCGAGCTGGGACGGGGCGCCTGCAAACGACGCGGGCGGGCGGGTCTGAGTTTCCGTCTTATAGCGATGAGCATGGAGATCTAAGGGATTCATATAATGAGTCCTTATATTATATACCTGGCCTCAACCCAGTCAGGATTCTTTCTGAAATGGACTAAAGAAGTGAGGCTGCAACAAGGTTCAATGCTTTGTGCTTGGTTTTGTCATCTCATGGAAGCTAATTCCTGCACCTCTTCAAGCACGGACATAGGTAGCCTTGCAAATGCCCCTTAGCTTTACACTTTCGATGAGATCTCGTCAAACCCCGACTACCGAGCATACACAACTGTTAAACAATTAAACAACACTTATAGGGTGATGTTGAAGCAAGCACGATGGGGCTGCGTGCAAATTGCGACGGAAACCGGTGTTTTTTGCGACGGTAGGCCGAAATGTTTTTCAAAAGTGATCGTGGAGTTCGTTGCGCGATCAAAAGTTCAAGGAGTGTTTTTTGCGACGACGTGTTTTTTTGCAACGATTATTTTTTTGCCACGGTGTTATTGTTTTGGTTGGACAAGCCACCAAGGAGTGGGAAACACGGAGTGTTTGGTGTGACGGTGTGTTTTTTGCGACGGTGTGTTTTTTGCG